TTAAATATAATAACTTGAAAACCATTCGGCTTATAGTCGCAAAGTTGATCAAGGCCTGTAAATGACCCATTTGCGAGATTAATAGGTTCTTTATCTAGGTCAAAATGACCTTAAATAAGATTTCGTAAAACGAATTAATATTTCGTAATTACGAAATAACATTTCGTTTTTACGAATTAATATTTCGTAATAACGAAATAATAATTCGTAATTACGAAATAACATTTCGTAAAAACGAATTAATATTTCGTAAATACGAATTAATATTTCGTAAAAACGAATTAATATTTCGTAAAAACGAATTGATATTTCGTAATTACGAATTAATATTTCGTAAAAACGAATTAAATGCCGGGGGAAAAGTGTCGAGAATGTCACCTTAGGGGCTCCGTATGTATGCAATCACATTACACATTTATTTTATACAAAATTGATTATCTATAGATCATGAAGTATTAACATGAAACAATATATAATACCAAATAGCTAATAAAAATACTTATTCATCAACACCTTTTCACAGCTATTTTAATCTAATCAATAACCTGATTCTTGAGTAATGAATTAATCAACACCTCAATTATCTTTGACAGCAAACTTAAAACACATGTTTATTGAAGTCCTTTCTTCATTATATAAAAGTATGAAATTTGGCAATAAAAATTCATTTATATTTTTCTTATAAATTCTATTCTTATTTATTAAAAAAGGAACAACACAAAACAACACAATAATTACTATCTAATGATTATCCTTATCAAATAAATTATTCATTATTTATCTTCAATGACTAAACACATTAAAAAGTATAGATCTACATTAGACCTAGTAAAATAAAAGATCTGAAAAATTTACTTATCAGCTTTTTTTCTAATATATATCAATTGATAATAAACTTATCTATCTAAATAGTTAAACAAACTATTTTTTTCTTTAATTTATATCAATTGATGATAAACTTATCCATCAACATCTAAATACTTCAATAAATTTTTATTTTTCTAATTTATATAAATTATAAATATATTGTATAAATTAAATTATGAATTAACTTATTCATTTATTTGACAGCTAAGCACTTCAATGGAATTTTCTTTTCTAAGTTATATCAATTAATAGCGAGGTCGATGAGCTGGCCCGAAGGGCCATGCTCCCAAAGCGAGCTTTACGGTAACGCGAGTACCTGCTATGTGATGGTTTTGAAAACATTCGTCCAAAGTACCGAATTGGACACATCGCAACTTTTCGAATTACAAGATAACGATAAAAGCCGATGTACTCTGATTGAAAACGGATGTGTTGACTATAGTCCAATAGATTAGACGTTACAGGCTTGTTATAGTTTTATGTTGGTCAAATCTGAGGTCTAATAGTTATTGCTCATAAACGCGAAGCATTTTTAAAAATTAAAAAAAGTATATTGACTTGCCTTTCAAGCTTTATTCAAAAGCGTATCTTCTGTTCTTGCAATTGCATAGTCTATCATTAACAAAAACTTTCAAACAATGTACTTATCAATTAAAAATAAAATATAAATATCAATATATTTCGCTCATCGGCCATACTGGTTAAGTAAAGCGTTTTACAGACTGTTCCAATTTTTCGAACGGAAAAATATATTCGAACACACTGACGGTACATGAGCAATTATTTCTTTGAAAAAATATTCCGTTAGAAACTTCTTGACTCTTTTAAACGCTTGCATTTGAATTAGCCAATCAGATTTCGCGCACTGTATGGCGGCCATTTGTATATCGGCTGTACAAGGTATTTTATTAAATGAGAGGATTTAATCATGACTTTTCGGATTTGACAGTTCAATTATTTTGTTAAAAGGTATTTATTTTTTAGTTTTGTTCATAAATATGTCAAAATTAAGGTGAATGCACGCTGTTTTAATTGTTTAAATGCATTAGATCTAAATCGATGTCTTATGTCATTTATTTTGCTACACGATTTTGCAAAGATCTGTTAAGACCTAACGTAACATGGAAAATGAAAAATGTAAAATATCAGATTAATGAATGATAAATATGAAATAGGTTACGTATAGGTATAATAGAAAGGGGGAACAAGAAAACGGAAGCAGTGTATAAAATACCGAATGACAATTTTAAAACGGAAAATGTAAAATAAAAATGAACGATTACTTTAAACTATCTTACGGTAAAAGAAATTCGAGCTTGCTTTGAGGCTTTGCCTTTTTCATATTAATAAACTTGTTAACCCATTTATTTAACATCAAAGTACTTCAATAATAATGTATGAACTAAAATGAAAATGGGGAGGAACTGTCTCCTTATTTGCAAATATGCAGACGGTTCTCTCCCAAAAAAGGGAGAGAACCGTAAGGGAAGAAACGTCACGGAAGGAACTGGTAAGGGAGACAATAGTCTGACTACTTGTCGGAGACCTTAAACCGGACACTTTTAGAACATTTTTCCGTACAGATTTCATAATTTTTAACCTAGAGACCAAAACATTCGACACATTTCAGCTAGGTTCTTATCCTAACTAGCAAACTAGTTTGTTTATTTATGATTTTATTGACATTTATATCTGAGAAACGGCAAGGAGGCTATCAAAATTACCTAAATTGTCTACACTACAGTACCATGTGTCCGGACAGATATGTACATGACATGATTTAATTCAGATAAAAGCTTGGGTGTTTTGATTTTTAACATGATATACAATATGTCAGCAACAAATGGTGAAGTTTGGATATTCTATTATTCACTCTGCAAAAGATTATAGCTGATATATGAGGTCAGGCATTGCTTTCTTAACCCGCAAATTTCAACGTCAACATTCTTGAAATAGATCCTGGTGTACGTAGTTCCGACGCACCTAAGAAACAATCACTATTTACCGTAACAAAATAAGGTGAAAACTAACAAATTACCTAAGCAGTGAAAAATTTATTCATTTCTTCATCTTTTACAACCTTTTTCATTAACTAAAAACTATCGTTAACACAAATATAATTAAAATATGACAAGCATAGATTTCCAATATGGCGGATATGAGAGTACAGAGAAACGACGCATTTGATTGGTTTCTATATTTAATCTTACTAAAACGAAAGTACACTTACTTTTTACTGGGAGAATGATGTACAGCAATTTTGTTAACAGCACGAAACATTTCAAGCACAAAAGTAAATAAATAAAAGTTGACGATTATTAGTTAATCAGGATTTCAGTTTTTTGAGAAGACTAAATTCAAACATGCTTTACAAATTACAGGTAGACCAAAACAATAAAGATAACATCCGTTTTATTGCCCTAACACTCACAATTGTGCTAAAATATTTTCTTTCATTAGTAGGTGGCTTTTTACATGTCAGTGAGGTTTCTTTGTACAAGAAAAAAGAAGCAGGAGAGACAGTTTCAGATATAACAGGAACAGTGTCAGACTCAATGAGTAGCTCATTTTCAGGCAGGAAAGAAGGTTTAAATCCTGGTCCTGGCTGGCTGCATGGCTTGGTCTTCTGACTGAGATTTCTCTTGCTGTAAATCAGTGAAAGGGAGAGGTTGGACTGGTTTTCAAAGGCTTTCTGAAAACAGACGGCAAAATCTTGGATAACAGTGCTTTATATTTAAATAGGCACTGAATTCAAGCTTACATATGTCATTATGTAATTTAGTGATTGACCTTTCACAGGACCAGGGTCTTTGAAATATAATTTCTATTTGAAAGACCCAGAAAAGACAGGTCTCGCAAAATTTATGTCCGCACCTATTGAAATGTTTTTCAAAGGCCTGAAACAACCTATAGATATCCATGGGCTGTAGAACATTGCATGTATGAGCAAGTGAATAAGTAAAATAATCATTTCTTGTCTTGTCCATTGAACAAAATTGAAATTGATGTGATATCTATGCTTATGATCATAAAATATAACAACTGGGCAAGATTCAGACCTTTCTGGAAGAAATCAGATGTGATTGGAGATAAAGCTTAAATCATATGCTTCAATCACTCTCTGAAACAGTACCATCTGTCACAGGAGTACTACCATTCAGCAATGCTGAATTTATGCCAGTAGCTGATATACAATACAGCATATTGACAAGCAGTAATTATGTCTCTTTGCATTTAAAAAAAATAAATAGCTGTTGTCATTGAAGTTGGTGAATAATTCCTGATCTTGACTTCAGGGATCTGTAAAAAATAACTTAGATAATATTAATAATAAAGCAATATAACAAAAAAGAACTTAATAGAATACAAATTTTAATATAAATGCATCCATAAAGTCACACAATAATGAGCTAACGTGTACACCTTCCTACACAGTGAATTATATATTTTTGGTGGTCACATACCATGTCATAATACTACCTCATGGCTTTCTAAAAATAGCGACGAGTTAGGGTATCGGCTGGTCCGACTGTCTTTTTATCAATTTTGAGAAAACTATAATTTCAAAATTATACAAAATTAGTAATAAGAAAAAACATCATTTTTAAGTGTTTTTATTAAAAAGTACGAAAAGGTTACGTCAAAACCGCCAACTTTCCACATTTTCGCTGATAGAAATAATCGAAATATTAACTTACAAAAAGCGCGGGAATGACGTCACACGGAAACCCCAGAACGAAATCGAAGTCTAAACAAAATTGGCGTCGTAATCAAGATGCGTCAAAATAAAGTACTGGAGGAGACATTAAAATATCACCATTTACGGACTGTTGAAATAAATTTATTCACTTAATTTTAAAATAAACATGCACTTATTGTTAATAAAAAAGTGACTGACAACCACCGAACAAAGAAAATACTAAATTACGCATTTTCGGAGCCGTCCGGGTTTGTTGGTTGTCCGGTTTTGGTGGTTCCCAACCAGTATCCCTCGCGAAAATATATGAAAAATTTACGTTTTACATGTCAACACATAAAAAACACATACCTCAATATTCACACTATACACAATGATATATAATCAAATTATTTACAAAACAAAAATATTTACAAGGAAATTTTACATGAGTTACCAGTTAAATTGGGATTCAGAATAAAAGTTCTGCTCACTGTCCATTGGGTAACAAGACAACTCACCCCCAGACAACTCACCTCCCAAAAAACCAAGACTTCTCACCCCTCAAGACAGTTCACCCCCCAAAATAGGTAAGACAATTCACCCCTTATAAATGATTATCATGTTTTCCTCAAAAGAGTTTTAATTTAAAAAAAAGAAATCAAAAAGTCAGTATATTTATTTGTTATGTCATATTTATTCACAAAATATAACTGTATAACAAGTTATACATGTAACATGATGTATACTGGTCTCCTGCTGATAAGAGGGCCTCAGGGTAAAAATGCAGATGTATGCAATATTTATTTAAAATTTCCTGTTTTTTTCCATAATACATGTAAGACATAGATAAAAGACTATAATTTTTTGTATATATAATCAAATGTAAAAAGTAATCATAATGGCATAAATGCATGTTAGATACATGTATTATTGTCATTATTGTCTTTGAAGTGGAATTTTCTAATCAGTGTTAACTATTCTAGACAGACCTAGATTTCTCAAAATAATTTAATTGGGCACGCACAAAATTTATTTGTATATGATGTATCATAAGCATCCAATGGGTTGTCTGAATATTTAATGTGTTACTTTAATCATTAATTTTACATAATTTAGATCTAGCTTTTCAATTTCATTTGTAAAATATAATAAGAAATTAATCAGAAGTTCACAGATTTAAGATAATTACCATATCTACCATCTATCTAGATAACTACCACTTTAATTGCTGAAAAAAATAATGTATATTATACTTCTCTTTAATTTATCTGAGTCACTTAACACCTAATTAGAGACAATCAAGTTCAAATGAAGTGTGAAAGGGGTTAAGGCCTATTAATTATCATAAATGAATCCCTTCCACAACGAAAGGGATTAAAGAGATATGATTATCACATATTTTATTTTATAAAAATATATCAATTAAGTAAAGAAACACAACAAATTTTTTTATTGCATCTTCTAATTTCTAATTTTAAGATAAATTTCATCAAAATTAAATTAAAAGAAATGGGGGGTGAATTGTCTGTGTCATTTTTCCAATAATGTGGGGTGAACTGTCTGAGGGGTGAATAGTCTGGAAAAACTGGCTGAGGGTGAATCGTCTGGGGGGTGAATCGTCTGTAAGCCGTCCATTGTAGTGACTCATCCCGGCTCCTCGTAACTTCTACACGTCGAGAATGACGAATTTCTATGGAACGCGTTATCTGCCAGTAACTTATGGTGGCTGATTTGTGCCATTCGTGTTTTCGCCCTGCGACCCGGCCAAGCGAAAAGTCGAGAATTAACAAGTTAAAATGGCGGAGGCGCGGAGCGAAAACACTCTAATTAGCCGGAGCGCGGAGCGAAAGGTTAAGATTTTATTGTAAAACCGCGGGGCCGCGAAGCGAAATATTTATTGTTGTAAGGCGCTAATTAGCGTGCTGTTGTTCGCGCCCCCGCCAAAATATTCATTAAAAACTCGACTTTTCGCTCTGCGCCTTTGTTAATTAACGTGTTTTCGACCCGCGCCCCCGCCGTTTTATTTCTTAAATCTCGCCTCGCGCCGCCGCTAATTAGCGTGTTTTCGCCCCGCGACCCCGCCGTATAATTCCTTAAATTTCGCTCCGCGCCCACGCGGGGCGAAGTTGTTATTTCTTGATTTTCGTGTTTCCGTCTTCCACAGAATAATAGAAGAAAATATCTATTATATATATACAATGTATTATACTATCAGTATCTATACTGTATTGATTTTTTTGTTTTACCTGTTAAAATGTCACAAGTTTACAGATACAATGCAAATCTCCTACGCAGGGATCTCCCCTTACAGGATTAGAACAGAACAGAGCATACGTTTTATTTAGACTTGTACATAGTACATCGTCATGCATATAGATATATAAAACAATTATCACGTCACGTGATCATGGTACTACAAAGTACAATATGATACTTAGAATATATAATAAAATGTAAGTTGTTATGAGTAATAAGTAAATATTTTCTCAATCAAAGCAGTAATAGAAATTCTACTGGCAACCTCACAGGATATTGTATACCATATTTTACCTAGTGAGTCTAACCATCCAACTGAAAGTAAAACTCTCTCCCGATAAAGGCGAAGGATAGATGTTAACCAGCAGCAAAACTAAATACTTATTGAGCAGTTTCTTTCTAGATATACAACAGTATCATTAAAAATTATACATGTTAACACACAAATATCATATGATTTTGTATCAAATAAGAGAAGATACTTTTATTATTTAAGAACAATGCATGATTACACAAACAAACATGATGTTATAATATATGAGAATTGTAAAAAAAATATTTTCCAAGAGGATGTTAAAAAATCAAATATTTAAGAGAGTATTTCTGATTGCCAGACTTTCTTTAATGTATCTTGCTAAATTCATCAATAAAAGCTTGTTTGAAGTTTGCAATAACTGAATAAATTTGAACATCGATGGTCTAACATAAAAATATTTTTTTATATATGTCTTACGAATATTATTATAACAAGGACAAACCAGAACAAAATGATATTCATCTTCGATATCAAGAGTATAAGACGGACGAGATTTAAGAAATAAAACGGCGGGGCCGCAGGGCAAAAACACGCTTATTAGCGTGGGCGCGGGGCGAGATTTAAGAAAAAAACTTCGCCCCGCGGGGTCGCGTGACGAGATATAAAACGGCGGGGATGCGGAGCGAAAGCACGCTTATTATCGGGGGCGCCAAGCGAGGTTTAATAAATGTATAAAACGGCAGGGGCGCAGAGCGAAAACACGCTAATTAGCGGCTGCGCGGAGCGAAAACACGAGATTTTAACTACAAAAACGGCGGGTTGCGGGGCGACAACACGCTAATTAGCGGGGGGGGGGCGGAGCGAAAAGTCGAGGTTTTAAAGAATAATTTGGCGGGGGCGCGGACAATAGCGCCATATAACAATAAATATTTCGCTTCCCGGCCCCGCGGTTTTATAATTTAATCTCGACCTTTCGCCCCGCGCCACCGCTAATTAGCGTGTTTTCGCTCCGCGCCCCCGCCATTTTAACTTGTTAATTCTCGACTTTTCGCTTGGCGGGGCGCGGGGCGAAAAAGCGAAATGGCACAAATCAGCCACAATAGATAATAGATTTAAGATGAAAAAAAAAACAATACACGACGACTTTTGCATGAGAACTTTGAAATGTTAGCTGAATTATTTTACTTGTGTCACACAAGTGCCAAGTGGTAAATGCAAAAACTGAAATGATCTGACATACATAAATCTAAACCTCTTAGAGCTAAAATAATCTGTCAAGTAGATTTGTGTTTGGTTAAGGTTCTTGTAACACTTGTAGCATTTTTTTTGTAAGTGATGTCACAGCAAGAGATGGGAAAGGGATAAATATTAAAATAAACAGTTATTTATTTATTTATTAAGATGTGTTCAAACACTTTTAACATGGCGTTTTCTTCGTGAAATATTGTACAATATAAACAAAACGTTGGTTCTTTTTGATAAACACTCGATCCAACCTAGGAATATATTTTGCCCTGGAAAATATAAAAGATAAAAAGGTTTATTGTAAAATTAATGTTTGGGTTTTATTCAACTGTCGACCACTTTCGGCAAAACATACGTTAAAAAATCAAAAATGACTTTTATGGGGCATGGCAACTGTTTTTTCAGGAAGGCAAAAGCTATAAATAAGCTCTACATTATAATTAGATAATGAATTCGAAAATACACAAGTAATTTTGATAAAGATCAGTAAAAGAATAATTATAAGATAATAAGAAAAGTTAGCGAAATATGATGGTAGTATCTATTTTCACAACAGAAGAAAAGATATAACTAGAAAAATAACTATACATTCATCATGTCCGCTTTTGAAAAAAGGGTGACTAAGAAGTTTCACTGACTTTTTCAAGAAATGTTTTAATATCTTTACTCAGAATCGACTTATTGTCATGTAAACATCTACATCAGTAGTTTACTTATGAAACACTTTCTAGTTTGAATGATATTGCTAACTGTTGTCTGTAAAATTCTTTATGCATGTAGGTAAATGTGTACAATATATAATTTGAACATATATTTGTGTTTATAATGTGTGCGTATTTGTGTATATATTTGTGTATTTGATTATTGCACATATTTTGTATTGATTTGTGTACTACTGATTTTTATAGTTATTCGTGTATAGGGTTTCACTTGAAAGAAGATAATTAGATATTGTACAGCTTTCATCAAGAATAAAAAATGAACTATATTGTACATTATCTAAACCTTTCCAACACTTTTTATTTTTCCAAAAATCTTTAATTCATAGAATCTATAACTTTATAGCGAGAAATAGGTTGTTTATAAATACAACAGGCTTTCTGCTAAGTGAGCTCTTGAAACACTCGACCTAACCAACTATGTTTCAGCAGGATAAAAAAATCACATCCTGTTTTCCAAGTATCCGAGTAATTTGAGATATATATACATTGTATGTACGAGAAACAAGTGAATACTTGGATTTGCAAGCCAGTGTGAAACCAGCGTCTGTTTGTTATAAATGCGTTTTATAAAAACAAGATGCATGGATTAAACTGTTTGATTTTCGCCATTTTGGCGAAGTGTAGCTTTTCCTACGTACTATTTCCAGATGTTCTTGAAACGGCTTTACAGAATTTACGTTCTAAGAGGGAAGGTAGGTTTAATTTTAGATCATGATAACTTGATAAGATCTATTTCTGGATTTTGATATAAATACACATGCATTTACTTATGATAATTCCTAACTCAAGGCGGTATTGATCGAGCATTTTGTTCAGACTTTCTTAATCCCTTTCCCCATCTGAATATGTGTATCAGTAACGGTCTTTTTCTAACTTTGATTTTTAAATACACGAAATTAAATGTAAATATACTATATAATACTTTGTCTTATATTAAAATGATTAAATAAATGTATATAAACAATTATAATCATTACTGTTTCATTTACGTGTATTCATATGTTGAGATGTATTGGAAATCAGTATCAGTATAAAACTCCTACTGTTTATTGAATTAAGCTTTCATGATATATAGGTAGATAATTTTATTGACTTGAACAGTACAGATTTTTTGTCTTTTTATCATACATTTGCATATACATATATAACATAATTTTATCATCTAACACAATTTACATTGTTAACATATTGTGGAGGATGAATAAGATGTTCACATATAAATCAATTTCACACACAAAAAATCAAAGTGAAGTAAATGCCTTCCATAATCGGCATTGTAAAAACATTTGGAAATATTTTATATTGTAGCTTGATTTTCACTCTTTAATAATAGGCTTTAATATATTGTTTTCTAAAATGTTCTTACAACAAATAAGAGATAGCAAAGTGGTTTTCATCTCCAATATCTCTATTTTGACAAAAATACAATATTTTTTCCACTCTGTTTCTAGAATAGCGTCAAGTTTCAATAGCCAGTTTATGTGAAGATAATCCTAATTTTTGATAAAGCATTTCTAAACTTGAATGACAATTAATCTAAATATGGTTCAAAACTAAATTCTGTTTTAAATTGCTTTTATATATAGCAGTAATGTTCCACATTCCTGCAATCGTTTGAACCAGTTTTGCTTAAAAGTTTCTATTAGCCGAGCTTAAAAGAATGTGGATGAAACTAACCTAGATCAACTAGATCGGCTGTTCCAAACATATGAAAACCAATGACAGTCCTATGATATGCCCATTTATTTTGATAATGTTACATTTACAAAAAATACCATATAACCTGTTTAATAATGAATCATGTATTGCCTCTCATTATTTAATCTAAAGCTGCATTTTCTATAAACAGCACCATGTGGTGAAGAAATTGATTTAGAACTAGAGGGCGGTGTAGCTGCAATTCAGCTCCGGACGGAAGAATTCAACGGCACAGAATTTTACAGGTATTTCATGTTGAAAATTCAAAATAATTGTTATAAGACAGATTTCTACTACGGCGGTAGAGGAAAATTTGTTTCTACGTGACTTGAGTATACCAAGTAAAAACAAAAAACACACACAATAAATGAAGCTAACTCTTATCTCACACGATATTAGTCTATTTATAAGCTGTAAATATGTTATGCACCAAAACAACCAATCTTGTTATTTCACAGATGGTAAAGTAAACAATCTCAAAAAATTTAGATATCAAGAAGAATTTGAAAGTTTTTATGGATATAGGGTATACCATCATCAAAACTTTTCTGAACTTTGTTGTTAAATTAAATCTGAAGAGTTCAGTGTATATCCACTGCTTTTTCTTAAGTCCTGTCCATACACATTTCCGTAAGTTAAGCCTTCATTATATGACACTTAAACAATCATGTATATATAAACTAACTTTCCAAAGTGAGAAAATTTTAATTTGTTTTCTCAGCCACCAACTATATAACAGTTCTAGGAAAAGTAGAAATATTCAAGTAATAATTTACATGTTATGTGATTAAGAAATTATTGACTGATTTAACAGTATTTATCACCCTATTTCAAGTACGTGACGAACGCAATAAGTGCTATTGCAGCATATTTTGTACATATTTAGGTCATAATTACAATTTGAAATGCGTTAATTACTTTCTTTATTCGCTACAAACCTTTTTTACATTTAAATACATTTAAAAAAAAGATTCATGAAAGTTTGTATGAATCTGGGGGCATGCTGGCTTTAATTAAGAAGACATAATACTTTTAAGAAGTTAACAAACGACCTGATTTACAGATTTCTATTGTATATGTTTTCAAGTTTATTCAAATTGCAATCTCCTTTCTATTCAGAGTAAATGAAGACTGTAAATGGACGGTTAAGACCGCTCAAGATCATTTCATGATCTTAAAATCCGACTACTTCAGCGTCGAAGAGAGCGAGAACTGTATGTAAGTAATCAATAGTTTTCTAAAATTCATATTGTAACCTATATAAAGCTAGTACAATAGAGTAACTGGGAGTCATTTTCTGTCTCAGGACTTCAGTTATGCAAAATGTATGTACCTGAAGTTTTGAGACATTAAGCGATTTCATCTCCCCTTGTTCAGCAAACTATCATACAGGAGTTGAGACAGGCCCTCTTAGAGCAGTAGGTTCGAATCCCACAAGACGCCATACGCGGGCTTATCAGCGGCATAATGAGACAGTGTCAGGTCGTAATCATCGGAAATGGGCGCAACACTCGATATTGAGATCTTTCCACTTTTGGCTCATTTTCAAACGCATTCCACTTGTATCACCCATGCACACAAAAAAACAAGAAAAACCCTTATCTAGAATACACGGTTCTCAAGCTTCAGTGATAAATCAACACATAACAAAAAAACAAAAAATTAATATACTTGAAATTGAATATCAAAATTATCAAAACATTACTATTAACTAATTAATTGTTGTATACCCATTTAAAATATACACCATCGTGATCCCTATCAGATTCTGTGTAGTATATTTAAGATATCACGCACGTCAAAATCAATCTATCCCTCGTAGAATGCTTCTACGACTATGTATGGTGGCTAATTTGGTACATTGCGCGTTGCAATTTCGATAGCGACAACGCAACCTATATCGTTATCGCCTTTTCGTCTTGTCCCTAACGGCGCGTTGTCGCGATGTCGTCTTGTCTCTAGCAAAGCACGCCAAACGGCGCGTTGTCGTGCGGCGCGTTGTCGTGCGACGCGTTGTCGCGATATCGCATGGCTAATAAGCCAATCCTTCGACAATGTGACATCGCGACAACACGCCGCACGACAACGACATCGTTAGCGACAGGGCGACAAGCCGAAAGTCCGACAATGCGCCGTTTGGCGCTTTGTCCTGTTGACGCTAGCGTCAACACGACGCACAAAAGCGTTCCAAATCAGCCCCATAGCTATGTTATATAACAGGCTCTCATAAATATGGCCAGTAAAGACAACATAAACATCTCTGTACTGGTCAGGGGAAGTAACCACTGCGAAAATTTTTAGTGTATTCACAAACTCCGTGTAACGGTTATTTTACCTGATTAGTAGTGCGGTTTGTTTAGCAGACGCTTGGCTATTTGTCCCAATTCCCAGAGTTCAACAGGGACAAAATTTAATGTTACTCCAGCAGCATAGAAATTGAATCGTTGCAACACTAAACATATCACAGACGCGTTGATGTCATGCTCAGCAATCTTCAAGGACTGGAAATAAGACATCTCTGACATCTTCTACACAATTCAAATCACACTGATATACATTGATCTACAGTTCCCAACCTTAATATAAAGAAAATTTACATAAAATTTTGAAAAAGAAAATGCAACGGTTGTCATGGAATATTGAATGTGACACATTTGTCATTCAATGAAATTCTGCATCTGATACCCAAAATAAAAGTCACGTGGTAGAACCTCTTTAATAAGATGCGTGCATGTAAAAGCCAATGTGTTTATGTATGAAAATCTGCATCGTCACGTTAAACCCAGCTTTGTTTTCACAATACCGGTAATTCACTACAAATTTATAGAAATAAACACTTCACTATTAAAAAAGTCTGTAGTGGTTGATCTTATGGTATAAACTATACTTAAATTATATACGAGTATCCCGCCTAAACACTTAAAAGTTTATAAGAGCATCCACTTATGGTACAATGTCGTAGCCTGACAAATTTACACATTGTGTTCCCCCCGAAGTGTATTATTTCAACATATTTCCACTACAATGTCGGATCTTGATCGTATTTTATTGTTTTTCTCTGTTATAAACTTATATGTACTGAATATTTTGTCTTCCCTATAATTATATCGTCATTTAAAATTAATATTATTAAAAAAGATTTATAGCATAGTTTGTCAGCGGCATTTTTTATACTTTAATTGACACAAGTTGCGAAGAACGGTAGATGATAAGGTACATTCAGCATGTTATCCAGATAGGCCATGCCAATCTTTTGAAAATAAATGCCGCCCTTTTGGTTAAATATATGGCCATTTTTATGTTTACTTGCTTATAAAATTACAGATACATATCAGTAAAATGAAATTGTTATTTGCGACTTTTAAAATGACAACTCTAACACAAACAATAACACTTGGTTTGGAAATCTGTATGTAACTTTAAGGTATATAGTTTCTCAAAATCCATCTTAAAGCTACTTGCTTTAAACTTGTTTATTATAAAACTGTGACGTCATGTCAAACTAACAGATAATTCGAACCTTACCTTTTGCAAAATTATGAATGCATTTCAAAAGTGCAAATCTTGTTTTGCCCTTTTTTGCCACTTTTTAACATAAAATTTCTTGTTAAACCTTTGTAATATTTATCTCTCAAAAATTAAGTTTATGTTACAGAAATCGCCTGCAATAGCAATACGTTTAGTTATTTATCTGGATAGCTGATAACAGATTCACAAAATAAAAAAATACAAGGCATATAATGCTTTCAGAATGACTTTAAGGTATATTTTATGCTTTATAAGTGCTTGTTTTTAATCACTTTTATTAATATTGTAATTATTATATTTGGTAGCTGGGACTATGTTGAGATTACAGAAAAGGGCGTTGATGGGACAACAAGCAAATACTGTGGTTGGGACCCATTGACATATATCACATTTGGGAGCGAAATCCAACTACAGTTCAAGTCGGATGAGACATATGAAGACAAGGGTTTTAAATTCATCATCGAGTCGAGTAAAAGTAAGTATTTTACTACTTATAAAATGATACCAATTGACTTCCAGCGTTTTGATTTAATCTCACCAATTAAGCATTATCAGAGTCAGAAAAAATCTACATAAACTCCATATTGTACTCTAGGTAATTCTGTTACAATACAAAGTTGTGTTGATTTCTAATATTTTCTTTTGTTATTTACAATTTATGGTCTGATTTATATTATTGATTACAATACTGGTTCTATTGGATTTCTTTACAGAGGTCAAAAACGTATATTTGACTTAATTAGCGTCTTGTCCAATATAGGCTTCACAGGTGTTTATTCGTCCAGCAGAATTCAATATTGTACTCAACAATGTATAAAAATCTCAACTTATTACTATTTATATAAGTCAATGAAATCTGAGACCAATTTATATACACTCAAAGTCGGCTGTAGCTGACTCCTCACTTTTTATGTCTACTGCACTTACAATTGAAACACCGACAAAAATCCTATTTTATATTTTTTTAAATACTTTAAAATCGTTGATTTATGTTTGTCACAATAACTTGACCTATAAGAGGGAGACAAACCCGCTTGGTATTATCGTATCATGCTTCGTAGATTTATACCGCAGACCCTATAATATACCCATTACTTCATGAGCATTTTGTGAAAAATGGCTGTTTTCATTGAAAAGTCTCCCGTTACAAGTTCAAATTGCTATAAAACTATAAAAACTGCTTCAATACTAATCAAACTTGGCACAAGTGTTGACTGGACCCTTGCCTTTGCAACAACATGCTCAGGCTCAAATTTCCTGTTATCATGGCAACGTGTGAACATCTCAAAATTGCCAAAAATCACTATTTTGCGTTGATTTTTTCCATCAAAATTGACTTCAAAGTGCTGCAACTTCTCAATGGATTGAGATAGAGTCAAATGCTTTTCAGCGTTGGTTACCTTATGATCGATCTGGGGTTATTTTAGCCTCTAACAAATCTAAAATTTTCTTGGCGATGAGAGGGACTCCGCCCACTTCAAACCCCCTAACAGAAGGGCGCACATCCCCCTTCTGGCAACCCCCTGATGTATTTTTTTTGTTGGGGGCCGCGCCGAAAAAGTGATCACATTTTTTAATAACATTTCTCAAACAAAAACAAGTGTTGGGGGCCTAAATTAGGCATTTTTTTCCATTTGAGACACAAAAAAGAGGGGGGGGGGGGTGAAACAGGCGTTAAAAGGCGTATATATCGCGTAATGGGTTAACAGAAAATGATGAAAAAACTTGAAATTACCCAAAATCGCGTTTTTGAATGTTTAAACATGGCCTAACATATAAATTTGAAGAAAAATTGTTGTTTTGTAGATTTTTTTGATTTTCTTCATTAACAGAAAATGATGAAAATACTTGAAATTGCCCAAAATCGCGTTTTCCCATGTTTAAACATGGCCTAATATATAAATTTGAAGAAAAATTGTTGTTTTGTAGATTTTTTTTATTTTCTCCATTAACCTTTTCCCCCATGAGCATATTGTGAAAAATGGCCATTTTCACTGAAAAGCCTCCTGTTACAAGTTCAAACTGCTATGAAACTATGAAAAATGCTTCAATACTAATCAAACTTGGCACAAATGTTGACTGGACCATTGCCTTTGTAACGACATGCTCAGTCTTAAATTTCCTGTTACCATGGCAACGAGGGGACATCTCAAAATTGCCAAAAATCACTTTTTTGCCTCGATTTTTTCCATCAAAATTTATTTCAAAGTGCTGCAACTTCTCAAGGGAATGAGATAGAGTCAAAGGCTTTTCAGCGTTGGTTACACGTTACCTTATGATCGACCTGGGCTCATTTTAAGCCTCTCACAAGTCCAAAATTTTCTTGGCGATGAGGGGGACTCCGCCCCCCTTCAAACCCCCCAAACAGAAGGGGGCACATCCCCCTTCTGGCAACCCCCTGATGTAATATTTGGATGGGGGACGGCACCTAAAAAAAAATGGTCACTTTTTTTAACAACATTTCTCAAACAAAAGACAGTGTTTGGGGCCTAAATAAGGCATTTTTTCACTGTTTGAGGCCTCAAAAGGGGGGGGGGGCAAAAAGCCGTCGAAACACGCTTATATAAGGGAAAAGGTTAACAGAAAATGATGAAAATACTTGAAATTGCCCAAAATCGCGTTTTCCCATGTTTAAACATGGCCTAACATATAAATTTGAAGAAAAATTGTTGTTTTGTAGATTTTTTTGATTTTTCTTCATTAACAGAAAATGATGAAAAATACTTGAAATTGCCCAAAATAGCGTTTTCCCATGTTTAAACATGTAGTCCAAGAGATGGCGGGGTTTTATTGCAATTTATCGTATCACCAAAAGAAACATTGCCATTATGAAGTATATTGTTTGTAGTTTCTAAAAACCCATTTCTTAAGATACGCAGCCCGGGCAAAAATATGAAAATTCAAGATGGCCGCCAATATGGCCGCCATAAATTACAAAATACCATATAATTTTTGTTTCTTGATTTTTTTACATACGGATTTTGTACAATATAGTTTTAATTGCACAATATCAGGTAAAATATGGCTACTTTATGATTCAATCAAGCAAAAATGACAGTTTTATGGCAAACTTTAAAATTATCACTATCAATTTACCTAAAAAGTGGTAAAAATAGCATTTTTTGACAATATGATGACTTTCGTTTTTCCGTATTAAAACAGTATAAATGGAATTGCATTGAAATTGTGTGTACTTTATCAATTTAACATAGCTAGACAAGTTAAGCATAAAAAAATTATTATCTGAGTATTTATGATGTAACAGTAGAGCTTCAAAAGTGGGAGGGGTAAAATTACCGATTTTTTTTTAAAAAAATTACAATGTTCCCAAAACATGCCTTTACATTATAATTTCAGTTTAATGTATAGGATATTGTGTTTAAATTGTATCTTATTTGTCATTTGCACATTTCTTGATAAGTTAAGCAAAAAACTTCATTACCTGATCATTTATCACAGATGAGTACAGCTTCAAAAGTGGGTGGGGTAAAATAACTCCCAAGAAAGCGCGTTAGAAATAAATAAGCTCCTAAAACTTGCCCTTATTTTACAATTTAAGTGCAATAATCATATATTAATTGAATTTTGTGGTAAGATATATAAATATGTATTACATTTAAGAAAAAAAGAAACATCATGTCATAGCAACCTTTAAGATTATCACAATTAACCAAAAATTTATTAGGTAAAAAAAACCGCAGTTTTTGCATTTTGTTGCCTTTTAGTATATCTTTTTGACATAAAGTAGAAGAATTGGGCTACAGCTGTTTTAGTTGATTATAGCTGTAATAGTTTGCCATAAAAATCATTACAAGAGAATGTATCACAGAGGGATAGAGTTAAAAAAATGGGTCCGACATAACATTTTAAAAATTAAAGTGCTAACAGAACATGCTTTTACTTTTTAATGTTTAATAGTCATGTTTTTGCTATTTTCTGACAATTATTATCAATAAATTATGTTAACGATGTTCCTAGCATAGTAATATTTTGGTAAAACACTTTTATTGCAGATATTTATGTGAAATCTACGAAATTCTTACTGAATAATTTTGAATAAAAAAAGTTTGGAAAGCTGCACTCCCTATTGTTGGTGAAGTAAATATGGTCTTTACTAAAAAAACGCCAGTTATAATGACGTTATGTATTTATACTGTGTTTATCTATAGTGTATGGAGTGAAAACTTATCAAAATATTGTATGTGTGTACTCAAAAAGATGTTTTTTATGGTAAAAAAGAGGCTGTATAGCAAATACAAGTATTTTCACATTTCAGTATATAAATTCTTTAATCCATTAAGAAAAAAACATCATTTAAATGTTTTATTTATCATAATTAATTCACACACAAATGTATAAAAACAACATACTAGTATTTTGGTAACTTTTGTTTCATCTTTGTAATATAAAATAGATGTAAGTGTGTTTTAATTGAAATTGTCGCGAGGCATGTGTCTCAGAAAAGAAGCTCTAAAAAAGTGTGTGGGATAAAATTGAACTTAGACCAGAAGACATCACGATGCTTATACAACATACTCTTATGGACAGAAAACAGTTTTTATTACGTTCTTTCTACAAAAAAAAAAATGTAATTTTATTAATTTTGATACATATTTATAACACCTGTAATTGATTATGTTTTTCTTAAAGGCCCATTATGCCTCAGAAAAGCTTTTATCTTCCTTTCTCTAAAACTTTTTTTAATTTTGGTATAGTTTTATGTTATCGGCATATCTTTACTCACTGGCAAATCACTTGAACTATTTTACATGTTACATTTTTGCAATACGTATAGTTTTTGTGAATGGAAGGAAGTTAAGTACTACTTTGCTTACATTTTGCTACATTTACTACAAAGTATTTTAGATTTATTGCTATTTTATTCAGGTAACAAGCATATTACATTCTCTTAAACCGTTATTTAATTTATTTGTTTTTTTAGGCATAATTTGCCTTTGATAAAGGTAAGAAATTTTGCATCATAATTACAATTAAGAAAGTGTGCATTAAAAACATCAAAATATACACTTATATATTAATCAAGAACATTATATCTGTGAAATGCATTTTGTGAGAGTGTAGTTGTGAAATATGATATGAACACATTATCATTTTTTTTAATTTGACAAAGGTAAGAAGAATTGTCATTTATAAAATTAGCAACCATATTTGAATAAGTTTAGCAAAAGTTGTGAATGTTACTGCACACAAAACATCCAAATAGTTAAAACATGTTTAAGCTATCAATACTTGTCATAGAAATACATACATCTTGAAATTATGCACTAATACATTCTGTACAAAAGTCGATTTAAAAGCAACAATTTTCACACAAAGCAACCGACCAGCATTTAGTTGTAATTTACATTTATAAGTACATAGTCGCTTTTCCCTTCAGATCAACTAGCTATGTTATGTGTTGTCTCACTATTCAGCAGAAATAAGATTTTAAATGTCAGTACTTTGTGAGTGCATCAAAATCACACTGAGCACTGACTGTGTAGATGGCAAAAATGATGCGTCAGCTCCTGACAGTTTGATCAATCTGTGATGTTATCTTGTATATATTGAAAATCTTTCAGCACAATAACATTGCTGTGTTGAATAGTTTTAGTTTTTTTTTCTTTTTGACTTTTTTTCCCATTGGGTGAATCTAAAATTCCTTCGTGAATACTAAATATCACCCTTAAGGATGTGTTGACTGACTTAAGATTTCTCCTTTGGTGGCTTTTATCTGATATTAAGACTCCATAACCCTATCTTAAAAATTTTCAATTATTTAGTTCAACATAATTTTCATATTTAGGCTACATGCATTATTTTTACTTGGGTCCATATACTGTTTTTTGATGGAGTGGCGCAATGGTTACATTGAAGATCCTTGATTACTGTCTTATGAACTTGTCTACGGATGTTTAACATTTTAAGTTTCACTTTTATAATTTCACTACATTTTTGTTTAAATACTGAATTTTGCTTGGAGGACGTTGTAAGAAGCTTGCATATATCACTGCTGTCAAGAAACGAGCGTAAGTGTGCCATATTGTGTATTCTTAAAGCTTTCCGTTTTTCATTCCATTTGCTTGAACGATTTTGAGCATATTTATTCTAAACAATGCTAGTCTGGCATAAGTTACAGGTGTGAATAGGGAAAAAAATACAATCCCTAAAGAACTTAATTCCAATAAACAGTAAAATTGAAAATGTTGCAGACTTGGTTTATTGAGCCTGTTCATGGATGGTACTGACGAGTGCAAACTACCATCCACAACCCCAAGCACCAGGATAATTCAGCCTTTAGCATGAAATAGTTAAATTTGAGTTTTGAAACATTCGCAGATGTGTTAATACGGGGGTCATCATAAAAAAGCTCAATTTGACTTTTTTTCAGCCAGTAACATTTAAAAGTGGCGTATGGTCCCACAATTATCAGGATGTGTTAATGAGAAAGCGATGGGTGAAACATAAATTTGGTGTTCTATAACAAATGTTTTTGGTCTTATTTCGGCTTTCGATCCACCTAACCAGATTTCCTTGATAATTAAGTAGCCTATTATATGAGCAAGTGACCCCTGTTTACCTCACATGGTATTTGAATAAGCGATGAGAGATTTATTTTCAAAGAGAAATTTACTTTGTCGGAGGATCAAGCAAGTGACTCCTTAATTTCTTATCTAATGCTCTCTCATTGAGCTAGGCAGGCATACTACAGATGGACATAACGACTGGCTTAATTATATGGCATTTATTAACCTTCTTTGTTGTTGTTATCATGCCCTAAATCTATCTATGAAAATTGTGCTTGCATATTACCTGCATAGCAAGAAACCTAAGCTCTCAGATTATATTGTATACATTTGGAAACATCGTCATAATTATAGTAAAGTTTACATCTTGAGTTCGTACAATATGAAATGGAGTGGTTGAAAGGAAATCAAATATATCCTGACACGATGCTTTATAAATGATGAAGATGATTACTGGAGATCTGGAAGATAAAGATGATGATGATGATGATGGTGATGATTATCCATTTAATAAAGCAGCATTTTTTACGCATAATATTTCCAAAATCTATCAAAGATTTACAAATTTATGTACAAATTATGACAATTGACAATTATGACCTTAACCTTTGAGCCAGAACTTGATTATTTCTTGTTCGACCTTAAAATGAAACACACATCTGTGCAACTCAGAATTGTTGACCAGACAAGAGTATCAACGCATGAAATGAAAAATTAAGAGGTGACTTTGAGCAACACATCTTGTTTTGGCGTGATACACATCAGATCAATGTAAAAAAAGTTATGCATAATTGTAAAAAAATCATCCATGAATGACAATGTCGTTGGAAAGACAACACCATATATTAATCATATTATGAATATGGAAGTACAAGTGTGACTTGTGATGCCAACACAAGTGTTGAGAATTGAGTACCGCTCAAGCCGGTGCTAGGGGGCGTGAGGGATGTTGCACTTATTCATTATCTCTCATGTACAGACTCAATCAAACCGAGTCTGCAATTCTTATGTAATTTTGTTGTGATTAATGCTTCCGAGGGATCACTTTGTTTCCAGAATTTTGATTTTTGAATGTCACACATCGATATAATGTCAAAAAGTATTTTTATTAATTTATTTCAAAACTCCATCCAGGAATGACATAATTATTGACTTGACATGACCATCAGTGCACAATTTATGTATGCAAAATATGCAAAGGTATGGACCACACTCAAAGTAAGGAATATGGAAGAAGGGATGGCACTGTACAAATAATAATTCCTCTCAATTTTTTTGTAGGGGAGGGGCATAAAATGCTGCTTTTATTTTATGTATTGAAATTGACTTTTTTCTTTTGTGCAGAAATTGTGTTTTAAATTTAATTGATATGTCCATTAAGGCTTAAGTACCTTTTGCTATCCACTATAATTGCAATTTTCTATGACTGTGATTTTATTCAGTATGATATTTGCACAACATTCATTAATAAATGCTCCTTTCATCAATGACAATAACCATTTCTCTTTTCTTTCATGTTAGATAATAAAGTAGTCAAAGTTAAAATGATACTGATGATGCGTCAACCAAAACTAAAGTTTATATTAAAATGTAATGAGATTGAATATCCATTTTACAAATTTTGCTGAAAGAACATTATAAAAAACATTTTCAAAAAAGTATTTATCCATACAATAATTTTGTTTTCAAAACATATAAAATGCCATCACATAATTGTTTGGACATATATTATAGAACAAAAGAAGCAAGTTTATTATATTTAATGGTTGAGGTGTTATTTTTCCCCACCGAGTTTTAAAAAATCTAAGATATATGATAAGTTAACTACTTTTAATGACTTGTCAAGCTATAATCATCAACTGATAAAAGACAGACAACTATGACATAATTTTATTCTACGATATATCTTTAGGCAACAAAATCTCAAAAAATGTGTTTCGGTACCATTTTTTGTGATAATTTTAAATTGCGATGTCATGATGTTTCTTTCTTCTTTAATGTAATTCAATCTTTATTTTTCTTTATCACAAAAATTCAATTACATCATAAAATACACTAAAATTGTAAAGTAAAGGCAGGTTTTAGAAGCTTAATAATTTTGAACTTTTTTTCTTCTTTTTTTTCCTCTTTCTTTCTCGGTTATTTTACCCAACCCACTTTTGAAGCTGTACTCATTTGTGATAAATGATCAGGTAATGAAGTTTTTATGCTTAATCTTATCAAGAAATGTTTCAAATGACAAAAAATAAGATTATAATTTAAACTCAATATCCTATACATTAACTGAAATAATAATTTGTTTTGGGAACATTTGTAATTTTAAATATTTTTTTTTCGGTAATTTTACCCCACCCACTTTTGAAGCTCTACTCTTACATCATTAATACTCAGATAATGATTTTTTATGCTTAACTTGTCTAGCTATGTTAAATTGATAAAATACACACAATTTCAAAGCAATTCCATTTATATTGTTTTAATACGGAAAAACGAAAGTCATCATATTATCAAAAAATGCTATTTTTTACCACTTTTTTGGTAAATTGATAGTGATAATTTTAAAGTTTGCCATATAATTGTCATTTTTGCTTGATTGAATCATAAAGTAGCCATATTTTACCTGATATTGTGCAATTAAAACTACATTGTACAAAATCCGTATGTAAAAAATCAAGAAACAAAAATCATATGGTATTTTGTAATTTATGGCGGCCATATTGGCGGCCATCTTGAATTTTCATATTTTTGCCCGGGCTGTGTAACTTAAGAAATGGGCTTTTAGAAACTTCAAACAATATACTTTATAATGGCAATGTTTCTTTTGGTGATACGGTAAATTGCAATAAAACCCCGCCATCTCTTGGACTAATGGCCTTACACATAAATTTGAAGAAAAATTGTTGTTTTGTAGATTTTTTTTTGATTTTTTTCATTAACAGAAAATGATGAAAATACTTGAAATTGCCCAAAGTCGCGTTTTCCCATGTTTAAACATGGCCTAACATATAAATTTGAAGAAAAATTGTTGTTTTGTAGATTTTTTTGATTTTTTTTCATTAACAGAAAATGATGAAAATACTTGAAATTGCCCAAAGTCGCGTTTTCCCATGTTTAAACATGGCCTAACATATAAATTTGAAGAAAAATTGTTGTTTTGTAGCTTTTTTTAATTTCTTCATTAGCAGAAAATGATGAAACTACTTGAAATTGCCCAAAATCGCGTTTTCCCATGTTTAAACATGGCCTAACATATAAATTTGAAGAAAAATTGTTGTTTTGTAGATTTTTTTATTTTCTTCATTAAACAGAGCAATTTATAGGGATGAAAAAATTAATGTTTTTGTTAAAATGATGAACCTATTGCAGAAGGTGGGGGTGACTCTAAGTGCATAGGCAGTATATTTGGTGGTGAAGATTCAAGTATAATGAATAAAGTGGATTTAGGAGAGGATTGTTTTTACAGAATACAGGTAATGACATAGTAACATTCCAGCTTTACAGGTGGAGAAACGCTCAAGTGCCCCTTTGTGCATTATTTCAGGCATGTTACATAAGCTAGCTAGATCATATCATATTATTCAGTCCCTGGCAGGATTCGAACCCAAAGCGGTTAGAGGCATGTGGTTTAAAATCAAAGACCTTAACCACTTCGCCACGGACACCTATTGAATACAATCGGTTTACGCAATGTTAATGGGTCTCATTGCATATTATCAATTACTTTATGTCATGATAAGCTTGTGTCAATCGATCCAGCGTCGTTCAACCACTGATTGGGACCAGAGAACTATATATCTATTTCCGAAAGTCAACCGGATCCCGTAAGATCAAATAGCTCCGTAGGATACAATGAATTTAGACAGATTAAGTATATATAAAGGAAGATAATTAAATTCAATACAGTTATACTTTCTCCTACGTGGGATCAGATAAAAATACAAGTGTGCAGATATAAATTATTACAGAAATGAAAGAATATATACACACATACCACCACATCGATATGCCAGTCCAATTACGGCACAGCGCCTAGCAGTTGAGTCATGAAAGCATAGCCACTGCTAACCACCATCACAAAAAAAGATTGTTTCAGAACAGCTTTATATACAGTCACAAACTGCACTACCCATTGAATCAGGCTCAACATTCGAATAAAAAGAGTTTGTTCTCTGTAATCATGTCTCACAAATCATCGATGAGATTTTTATTGTCTTCTTCACTGATTGGGACCAGAGAACTATATATCTATTTCCGAAAGTCACTGAATCCCGTAAGATCAAATAGATCCGTAGGATACAATGAATTTAGACATATAAAGTATATATAAAGGGAGATAATTAAATTCAATCCCTACGTTGGATCAGATAAAGATACAAGTGTGCAGATAAATTATTACAGAAATGAGAGAATATATACACACATACCACCACATCGATATGCAAGTCCAATTACGGCACACCGCCTAGCAGAACAGCCATGAAAGCATAGCCACTGCTCATCCACCATCACAAAATATGATGGTTTCAGAACAGCTTTATATACAGTCACAAACTGCACTACACATTGAAACAGGTAAATAGCCGTTTATATACGGCCATACAACCTGTCAACACTCTTTATAACGAATTTATAATACATGAATCGACAGCAGCCGTGTATATAAAACTATATAAACGTCACGATTAGCCAATGAAAAATGACGCTACAAACGTGCAGTATTATATATTTATACATAATAACATATGATTTTTCAGGCACCCGGGGACAAAGTTCTAACGTTGGAACTAAAAATGCTACAATTTGGCTCGGCTAGTTGTGAGGAGGAAAGTATAACCATTTATGAAGGACACAGTACACGTAAGTATTTGAATGTATTTTAATGACTAACTGTGATTATATTAAGAACAAACCCACAACTAAACGTCTATTTTTCCGTTTTGATATATTTTTTCTATTCATATTCAACTGCACCACAGACAAATGCGTCGCCATAGCTTTAAACTTTAACCTTTGCATGTTTACTTTTTGGAGTAGACTTCTTACAACACGCTGTTTGTTTGTTTGTTTGTTTCATTTTACGCCTTTTTCCAACAGTATTTCAGTCATATAGGCGGGTAGTTTCCTAACCCGCAAAAAGTATAAGGACCATCATGTCTTTTATTTTTCTCGTATTTCGTTCAACAGATTAAATTTAGTTCTATTGTGTAGGAAGCTATAGGCTTACAGGCACTCTTTCGTCTAGCGCTCATTAGATTATTAATGCGACGCGTTAGCCATCCCTATTTGCCAAATTGACTTTTTTGAAAAGTAACAATGGATCACAGTTCATTTCTGCTGAATATGCCAAACAGACAGAAACGCAACACAAAACATCATCCTAAATACATAGTCAACAAGTACAAATGTTGCTGCAATGCAGCAATTGAGAAGCTCCGCGCAAAAAAATGCGCTCATTACAGATACCTTACCAAATTATTCCTACGCACAGGTCATGTTGTATTCAGATTAAGTACTATTGTAGATTTTTTCCGAATGTTTTGTAAACCATTTTTTTGCATAATTATACTTCTCTTATGCACTGTCCATAATTAAAAAGAGGGGAAAGATATTTAATATAAAAAATGCTTTCACTGATGCCTACCTGGCAATGAAAGTAATTCCATTGACTACAAACAAGACTTACAAGACTTGTAAATGTTATGTGACTTGACTGTACTGTGTTCCGTTTGTGTCACTACTGTAGTCAGTAACATAAGATGATGAAAATATCAAAGTCTATTTTTTATTATTATAATAACAAATATACAAATAGTAACAAAAGGGACTAATATTATGATTTAGTGTCCAACTTTATTTGTCATCCAATGAAAACGCTGTATTTCTGTGCGTTAATTTTCATAGAAGAACAAAAGTCGATACTATATCGAATTCGTCCATAGTCGACTTCTATTTTTTATAGTACTTCATAGAACCGCATAGTGACGTAATAAAGTGAATGATAATGAGGCCAAATAAAGGTTGACACTAAATATGTTAGTATTCATCCGTGCTGTTCTACAGAAATTAGAAACATTCTCCTGTCTTCATGTTCAAACTGCAGATCAAAGTTTCTGTTGTTATCATGATGTCTATCTATTGCCTATGCTTAATAAGGGTCCATCCGCTCGTAAGGCCACAAAATGCAGCTGTCGCTGTCGAATACGGACCCCGGACATGTCATACCCTTACTTGTTTTTCTTTTTCACAAAGTGGTATGCTATTTCACTGACGCTAGTTAAATGTAACTTTATAAACTAAAGTTTAATCATTTCAAAACAAACAATATATCAACATGTTATTATTAAACATTTAATTTCATAAATATAAATTAAAAATAATTATCAAAAGCAAAATTGTTAAAGTGTTATGCCTGAAATCTTCTTTATATTGACAAATTCATTCACTATTAGTATACTTGATATGCTGTGTGTAAATGTAGTTAAAATGTAACAAATTATAATTTCATGTACTACTAAAAAAGGGAAATAACAAATTTATAACCTAAGTGTCAAAAATCAGAACATTAATAGCTATTTATAGCTTTCGAATTCATGTACAGCAGAACTGCTTTCCGGTTCTCATTCATTAATATGACATGCTGCGAATCACCGACGGGGAAACTAATATAGAAATCGAAAGGAGTTCTTGAATGCGGATTTACTTTTAGCTTTAAATCGAAAGGATTTATTGATCAAATCCGGGCCCATGGACAAAAAATATAGTAAACACAAATAGCTCCGCGCCTGTGGGCGCGGAGCAATCAAATGGTTTCATTAAAAAGATAGTTGTGGATGCAAAGAACATAATGAAAAAAAAAGAAGATCTAGAAGAATCGATTAATAATTGACATTCGTAGAGCATATGATCACCTTCATTAGGATGCGGTTATTCGCCTGCCCAATTATTAATCGAAAGAAGGTTAAAGCATATTTTATCTACAAATGAGAAATATAAATTAATGATAATATTAAATCTCCCATTAACAACAAAACATCAAGAACTAGCTGTAAATTTTTTTAATATTTTTGTATCTTAGTTATCAAATAAATCGGAGTTAGTGTTTGAATTATATCAATTACTTGTCTAATTGGAATTAATGCAATGGATATGTTTTCATTATACTTAAATCCAAAGGTTGTAATTCTTATATTAGCATACTCTTAATGAACTACCAAATGACAAAAATCAATGTCAAAAATATCTTAATGTTATAAGAACTACTGCCGTAATACATTAAAATAATGTCCTTTAGATTGGCAATGCTGATTTTTATGGGTTTGTATCATTAGTATCGTCTGTAGTCTGTATATTTTAAACCAAGTGATTTGCATGTTTCGACGGGGATATAAATTCAACGAATTAGCTTGTTCATATTCTAAAGTGTACCTGCATTAATTACTTTTCAGAAGGAAAACCCCTCGGTACAATATGTAGTGACAGTGTTCTGGGAATTCTGCCTTATCATGCAAGTTCAATGTTTATTGAGTACAGAAATCCTCTTAAACAAGAAGGTGAACGTTTTACTATTGATTATATGTTTGTCGAGGACAACTTTACTCCAGCACCTGTACCATCAACAACCCCATCTCCAGTTGGTGGAAATAATGGTAATGCTAACTATTGTTACACAGAATTAATGAAAAAAAAATAAACATTTGTAACCGGTAAAACTATAAACAAATATTTCATAAACAAGAACATGGTAGTATACATTAGGTAATGCATTTTCTTTTGTGATAGATGTAATGTAAGCAGTATCAAAATATGAATTTTTTTTTGTATAGGATTATCATTATATTGTTTTGTTTTTAGACTGTAGTCGAATGTACAAAGGAGTCGATATGGAGAGCGACATTTTGGTATATACAGCACCTAAATACGAAAACAACAAAGATTGTATAGTTGTTGTACGTAACGATCAATTACCTAATCACGTGGTACAGGTAGAATTCGACTACTTCGACATTGAAGAATCGGACAACTGTATCTTTGATTTCTTGAGAGTTTTATCTGGAGAAAGAAATGGTATTGAAATTGTAGTTTCAAATTTTTGCAAATTCTTAAATTAATTACTATAAATCACATGCCAAGAATGCATGTGAGATTAGCAGTGCCTAATTGATACTCTTTCAAATTACAGATGCATAGTTTGTGTTATTACCCATCACTTTTTTCGTAATGTTAATTTCCCATAGGCCTCTTGGAGCTATTCTTACTGTTAATGCAAGTGTACCACGTGACTAAGAATTTTGTACTGTTACATAGGTAACGGTATTTTTTAACAGTATATAAGCTGGAGACGTGGTCTATTTTCTAAATAAAATGAAATAAAGTTGCCGCCATTTTTCTCTCGATTTATTCTAATTTTCGACAATAGGGCCTAGGGCATCACCAAAGTAACTATGACTCTCATAAAATTTAGTTCTTTGCACCCTAGAGTTCTTTTCGCGTATAAACTATCTTTTTATTGAAGAGACAAAAAGTAAACATCCGTTTTCAACGGAAGAAATTGTTATGTGAATAATAATAAGGATTATTAACAATTTTAACCAGTGAAACGTTACAGATAGAGTTGGTGACATCTGTAGGATATCATCGTTATTTTGTAAATGCACTTTGTCAGAATATTCTGGATACAGATGGATCATATTTCACAGATCATAACCTTATAAATGGGTTATTGTTTTGTTTTCTAAATAAAACACAGCTTATTATATGTTTATGACTGGTATAGATATCATCACTTGCTTAAAGAATAAAAATAAAGAAGCTTCTCAAGTAGGCATACAGTACACTTAAAACTTGCATGGTAAGGACAGTTTAGTTATTACTACTCTTGGTTTATTTTTGTTACAGTTAGATTTTGTTTACAAATTAAGTTCTTCACAGTATTTGTTCAGGGTAATAAAATAAATAACACATGGGTTTGTGTGTAACAGTAAAAATACCATCCCTCGTAAAAATACTGTTACCTTCGGCTACATCTCGGCTACCCACAAACCCATGTGTTTTTATATATTGATACTTCTACTAACACCATCGGAAATTTCCTTTATATAAGCTAAGAAGGTCGGACGCGTGATATATTTCACAGCAGATACACTGGCCGTTCTTATTTTCTCCCTTCCATATTTGCAAACCCGTACATTGACGACGTGATTTTGTTTGAAAAATCTGATAAATAAGAAACAACTTTTTGTTGAATTTTGCTCTGAAAACTATCTAGAATGATAGAAAATGGTCTAAGAAAATAAATCCGAACACAAATAGCCTTAATTCAGTCATAAGTGCTGTCCAGACTTTTGAAGTGTTGTAAATGCGACGTCACAATGCAGCACAAAACAACGCCTGCAAAAACTGTAAATGATAACGCTATTTCAATATTGCAAAACAAGAAGTTAAATATCACTTTAATTTCTCTATAAATACTCTGTATTTCGCTTGAAAAGTATAAAAATACGAATCTCTTTCATAAGTATAAGCTATCTTCGACGGAATTATTTTGATGACCCGATTCTATCATTTATTCTACAGACTCTGCTTTGCTTGGTGGACCATACTGTGGTGAAAGTCTACATGGGCGAACTTTCCTAACACGCGGTAACTCTCTTCGCCTTGAATTCAAAACAGACGTGTCATTTGCCCTCAAAGGATTTCAAGCAAAAATTTCATTCGTACCAAATAAAGGTAAAACAATTTGCTGCAATATCTAGCTGTTATTTAATTAACTACTAACCTGTTCTATTTTACAAACTGTTTAGAATATCTGCTGTAAGTATGTTTATGTTTTGTTGAACATAAATCATTTGTATTCTTTTCATAGCTATCTATTTGTTATGTTTTATCTATGAAAATTAAGTACTTTAGTGTGTTTTACTATATTTACAGAATGCAGATGCAATGGAAATAAGATGTGCATTCGCCAGGACTTTGAGAAAAAGTTAGTTTTGCCTTGAAACATTGCTGCTTTTCATTAAATCCGAACTTTACGGTAGCAAATCATATTTATAAACGTACCAAATACAATATACACGTAGATTAAAAAGAAATTCAGACAGGTCTTAAAAACATCCTTGACCAGACTATTAAAAAATGTTGTAAATCCACGATACCTTGCCCAAGATACTCGATATTGTGTTTAAATGTAAAGTTTATACATTTTAAGATGTATTCTTGGACAAAAGTGTGAGGTAAATAGCTGTCAAAATGGCGGAACTTGCATCAAAACAGCTTCTGTAGCGACATGTTACTGTCCTAAAGGTTTCCAAGGAGAAGATTGTTCACAAAGCGATGTAAGAATATCTTGTTTAAACATTTAATGTTTTTGTTTTAAAAAAGCAACTTCGATTCGATTATTCGTATTTGTATGTTATTTTAATCTTATGAAGATTGCTCATACGTGTGTGCGTCTTACTTGCGTTTGGCAGGTTCTATACATATTTGCAGCTGTGCCGTTTGTTTTACTTGGGCAGACATTTTGCATTTGTATGGCATATTTTGTACGGAGCCCCTAAGGTGACATTCTCGACACTTTTACCCCGGCATTTAATTCGTTTTTACGAAATATTAATTCGTTTTTACGAAATATCAATTCGTATTTACGAAATATAAATTCGTTTTTACGAAATATTATTTCGTAATAACGAAATATTAATTCGTAAAAACGAAATGTTATTTCGTTATTACGAAATAATAATTCGTTTTACGAAATATTAATTTGTATTTACGAAATATTAATTCGTTTTTACGAAATGTTATTTCGTAATTACGAAATATTATTTCGTTATTACGAAATATTAATTCGTAAAAACGAAATGATATTTCGTAATTACGAAATAATAATTCGTTTTTACGAAATATTATTTCGTTTTTACGAAATATTAATTCGTATTTACGAAATATTATTTCGTTATTACGAAATATTAATTCGTAAAAACGAAATGTTATTTCGTAATTACGAAATATTAATTCGTTTTTACGAAATCTTATTGAGCTTGATAAAGCACCTACTTATCTCACAAATGGGTTATTTACAAGCCTTGATCAACCTTGCGATTATATCAAGTTATTATATTTAAGTGAACAGGGTTTTTGAGTGAGAAGTCATTCTCTATCCAAAATGGTCTATTTTCCCCATTGTCAAATACATGTTCCTATCAGCAATGTTTTAATGTTTGAGGCAATCTTTTATGATATGTTTCTTTAAAACAGAAACATGCTATATTATTCCGTTCTTTTATCATATACATTAGTAAAACTAATGGGACGAGGGGGTGGGTTGGTCCAGATTTTCACTAATCTAATCAATTTAAAAAAGAATATTTCCTTACAATTTATTATTAGAAATGTCCGTGTTTCGATTTGAAGCACAGGACCACCATTTTAACTAAATTTTCCTAGCGCGTGTACTATCACGGCTGTGGCTCAACGCTATTGACAGGCGATTATTTTAATTTATGTACAATAGTGTAAAGTTAAAAAAACGTGGGGAGAACAAAAATCACTATTTATATTGCATGTACATGCATTATATTCAGTCAGGAACTTAGTTTTGAGGCCTTATTTATAACTATTACCAACACTCTTTGAAACCGTAGAAAAAATTTAATTCGTTTTTACGAAATATTATTTCGTATTTACGAATTATTATTTCGTAATTACGAAATAATATTTCGTTTTTACGAATTAATATTTCGTTATTACGAAATAATATTTCGTAATTACGAAATAATATTTCGTAAATACGAAATAATATTTCGTAAAAACGAATTAATATTTCGTAATTACGAAATAATATTTCGTAATTACGAAATAATATTTCGTAATTACGAATTAATATTTCGTAAAAACGAATTAATATTTCGTAATTACGAATTAATATTTCGTAAAAACGAATTAATATTTCGTAAAAACGAATTAATATTTCGTAAAAACGAATTATTATTTCGTAAAAACGAATTATTATTTCGTAAAAACGAATTAAGTTCCGGGGAAAAAAAGTGTAGAAAATGTCATCTTAGGGGCTCCGTAATTTTGGAATATTTCGCATGTAAAGCTCTCTTTTTACTATTTTAATGACAACGTTATATATCTAGCCAAACTTTTAAGTCTGTCAATGCTTTAACATTTGACTGTGAAGCATGATAAAGTAGTAGATCTACCTACTAGATTTGGGGAAATAAATCTTAAAGGGGTTTTATTCTTTGTTTTTACTTAGATCGATTTGTAAAGTTAAAGTTGCTTTGGTGACAATTAAATTCATGATGTTAAATGCTATTCCTATTTTTAATCATCATGTGCCAGGGAGAAAAGTCTTACCATATACGCTTTACCACCGCACCCGTAGACCGAACGATAAAGAGAGGTGAAAGTCGCGTAGAAGAATGTGAAGTTGAGGTTCCATATGGAGAGAAGAAAGATGTAAAATATAATTGGTAAGAATAGTTTCTATTTTTAAAAAGACTTTCATACGAAAACAAAAGATATTGAATTATTTGTAACGTAAACTGTTTACAGACAACAAAGTACGTCCCTTTCTACAACACTTCTCGTTCCTTTTCAAATTTTATCACATACCCTTGCCGCTTTAACGGCTCTGAAAAAAATGTATTGAACAGCCGTGCATATATTTTGACGTGACGTAATTTTGGTTAGATAAAAATACCGTCAAGACGCGCAAAATGTTAGCGTTATGCTATAGGCGAGTAAATGAAAAATGGTTCTTTTTCACTTCAAACGGTCTTTATTTTTGGTATGTGATAAATAGAATAATACATTCGTGAAAGTTTATTACACTATTTATTGAACTCGTTAAATAAAATAATATTATGCTCGCCAGAGGCTCGCATAATATAATTTTAATAAACTCATTCAATAAATTAAGTATCAAGCTGAGGCTCGCTTAATAGTATTTAATTTATCGAGTTCAATAAAAACTTTTGAACAAAGGGAGCTAATACGTGAAGCTGGGGTGAAATTAAATGCCAGGAAAAGCAAATATTTTATAAATGAGCACTTCCCACAAGATGTTGAACTTAGGCGACGCAAGATTTTTCCTGTGCTACGTAAATACAAGGGCAAAAGAGATCAATATACAGTGCATTTTAAGAATGACACGCTGAATGTTAACGGACTCACATACGATCCTGATACCGAGGCATGGTTTGATACACGACCCCCTAAACCAAAAGAAGCCAGCATCACTCAATCATCCTGCTCGAACCCCCGTTTGCAGGCTAGGAATACAAATTTAGATACCATATCCTCCAGAAATGGTTCCCCAAAATCGAATCCAATAAACGATAGAAAGGTTTATCGTGCTCAAAATTCTAGATCGTATACGTCTGCCAAGCAAAATTTAAATTTTGTGACTCCTACCAGCAACCGTTTTGATCCTCTGCGTCAACACGAGCAGCAGAATAAACACAAAGCAAACTCGCCATTAGAAGACACGGAATTAAAACGTGTTTGCGATAATGAACCAAACTTGAGTTTTATCGCCGACAATTTCATTTCAAATAATACCAGTGAAAGTGTAACTATAAACATGATTAGTTTGCCAGGTCCTCAATTAACCGGCGCGACAGTCAGTCACGTATCCACCAGTGGCAAAATCTAGGACAGGTCGGGAGATTTAACCGTGCAAATTGACACTTCGGTTACCGATACTTATTGTGAATGTGTATTACAAAATGATTTTTGTAGTTGTGATAAGAACGTTTTGGATGAACAGTCATTACACAATAACAATATATGCTATTTGAAAATACTTAATTTGAATGTATGCGGTTTATTATGTAAACAAAATTGTCCTGATTTTTGTGAATTTATTGATAAATATAACATTGTATGTTTTGAGGAAACCAAACTTGATTCTTTATGTAGTGTGAATTTTGAAAACTTTAAATTGCATTTTAAAAATCGCAAGGATGTAATGAAAAGACGGTCAGGCGGCCTTTGTCTAGGGATTAAAAATTACCTAACACCGTTTGTGCGCATTATTGAATCAGAAAGTAAACTTATTCTATGGTTTGTACTGTCCAAACAAGTAACAAAAAGTAATGATATTTTATATGGTGTCGTGTATGTGCCACCTGAATCATCTGATTTCTCTACTGGCGAACCTTTTGCAGAAATTCAAGGTGAACTTGATTCATTCAGTAATAAATATTCTTCTGTCTGTCTGTTAGGAGATTGGAACTCAAGAATAAGAAATATGAAAGATTATATAGAACCAGATTTTGACCTCTTTCATGAAAATGGTTTAGACGATTTGTATTATGAATTTCAATCAGACATGGAATGTTTTAAAGATACAAATATTAATCTTAAACGAGTCAGTCAAGATAAAAGCTGTAATAATTTTGGTTATAAATTCATAGATTTTCTGCAATTCAATAATTTTTTAATACTAAATTGCAGGACGAAAGGTGATTAAATGGGGAAAAATACCTGTAAGTCGAGTAGTACCGTGGATTATGCTGTTTGTTCCAAAAACTTACTTAAACGCGTTGAATCTTTAGAAGTTTTAGAATTTTGTCCTCTTTTGTCTGATGTCCATAACCTTATATGCCTAACGTTTAATTGGACTATTTGCCCAGTAAATGATAAAAGTAACAAAACTTCAGGTATTAAACTATGGAAACAAGAAAATCAAGGTGCGTTTATAGCAAATCTAGATACAGAAAATGTAGATTATATTTATCAGCGTCTCTGTTTGATGGAATCAAATAATAACATCGTTGAATCAGAATTGCAAAATATTGTAAATGATATATCTACTGTCTTTATTGAAAGTGCTAAAGAAAGTTTTGGCTATACAACAAGAAATAAAACATATCCCTACGAAAATAGAAATAATACACCGAAATGGTTTAATTCAGAATGTAAAAATGCCCGAAAAAATTTTCATAGATCAAAATTTACGTATAAGATACATAAAACAGAAAGAAATAGACAAACTTTAAACGAAAACAGTAAACATTATAAGAAAATTCTAAACAAATCAAATAAAGCATTTAAAAGACGAAATATTGCAAAAATTAAAAATCTAAAAAATAAACATCCCAAGCAATACTGGAAGGCACTATCAGGGGGGAAGAAAATAAACGTTAAAGCGGAACTAGATACGCTCTATAACCATTTTAAAAATGTAAACTCGCAAAATACTGATGAAGAATTTTTTGAAATTCCAAACGATATGACAGAAAACTTAAATAGGGATCTAAATGGAGATATCACAGCCGAAGAAATAGAATTAGCGGTAAAACATTTAAAAAATAATAAAGCTGGGGGATTTGACCAAATCTTAAATGAACACATTAAAGCCTCGATGCCCATTATGAAAGATATTTACGTCAAGCTTTTTAATATTGTTTTTAAAAGTGGAATTATTCCCAATTCTTGGACAGTGGGTGTCATTCAACCATTTTTGAAAATATAGGGTCTCAAATAGATGCTTCAAATTACCGTCCTATTACTTTGTTAAGCAGTATGAGCAAACTTTTTACTGCTATCTTAAATTCGTGATTACAAATGTTTTCTGACAAAAATGACTTAATCAACCAGTTTCAAGCAGGTTTTAGAAACAATTTCTAAACAGTTGATAATATGTTTGTTCTTTCTTGTCCTACCGAAGCTGTAAAAAACAATATATTGTGCTTTTGTCGATCTTAAGGCCGCATTTGATACGGTGTTGTGAAATGGCTTTGGGCAAAGTTACTGATGAATAATATTAAAGGCAACTTTCTTAATGTCATTAAAAGAATGTATGAAAATGCAAAGTCGTGCGTCTCACTCTCTGTAAATGGTATGAAATCCGACTTTTTTATATGCAATATAGGCGTTAGACAAGGGGAAAATTTATCTCCCTTGCTGTTCTCATTCTATTTAAATGACCTACATGATTTTTTCAACTCTAGCAACTTTGTTAATGGTGTAACCTGCAATAAACATGGTCAGGATGATTCATTTCTTAACTATTTAAAACTGTTTGTACTTTTATACGCTGATGATACTGTTATACTTGCTGAATCAGCACTGGATTTACAAAATTCTTTGCACTTATATGAGCAATATTGTGATATTTGGAAATTGCAAGTTAATATTTCAAAAACAAATATTGTTATTTTTTCTAAAGGAAGACCAAGACAATTTACATTTACTTTTAAAGGAGAAAACATTGAAGTTACAAACGATTACAAATATTTGGGTATTTTATTTAGTAGAAGTGGTTCTTTTTTAAATGCAAAGCGTGCTATAGCACAACAAGCTACACGAGCAATGTATTCCCTCATAAAGAAAGCAAGAGATTTGTTAATGCCAATAGATTTGCAAATAGAACTTTTCATGAAAACTGTTAAGCCAATTTTGTTATATGGATGCGAAATATGGGGATATGGAAATTTGGACATAATCGAAAAAGTACAATTAAAATTTTTGAAATTTGTTTTAAATGTTAAAGCAAGTACACCTAATAGTATTATATATGGTGAAACTGGAGTTCAACCATTGATTATTGATATTAAAACAAGAATGATTTCTTTTTGGTCAAATTTGATTTACCCCAAATCTAACAAATTGTCAACTACATTGTATTGTTTATTACTTAGTCAATTTAACAATTCAAATACTGTACAAAAGAATAAATTTTTATGGTTAACTAATATCAAAAACATTTTAATTTCATGCGGCTTAAGTGGTATTTGGACGCACCATGAGTTTCCAAACACCAAATGGTTAACAACTACTGTAAAACAGAAACTTTCTGATCTTTTCTTGAATGATTGGTACTCAAATATATTGAAAATTCGAGCAAATGTGCAAATTATAAACTTTTTAAAACAAAATTTGAATTTGAGAAATACTTAATAAATACACCACCTAAATACTTAAGATATATGATAAACTTCCGAACAAGAAGCCATAGACTCCCTGTAGAAACTGGATCTTGGCATAGAATCCCATTAAATCTTAGAATTTGTACGAAATGCAACAATAGTATTGGCGATGAATTCCACTATCTTTTCGAATGTTCTTTTTTGTTAGGCACTCGTAAGCGCTTGTTAAAAGCAAAATATTACAACAGACCGAATATCATTATTTATAAAGAATTAATGGAAAACAAGTGTTTTAAAAAAGTGGAATATAGAAAATTTTGTGAATTGGTCAAAGAAATAATTTGTTTATATAGTAACTGAAAAAAAAAATTGGGTTAAACAATTTTGGTTATTCTCCCGTTGTTACTATTGGTGAGAAATATCCTGAGAAATATCATGTATTTTTTTTCTCTCTCTTCTTCTTTTTTTTATTTTCCTTATTTATATTGAAATTACACACAGATTTAGCAGGTTTAAAATATATCATGCTATATGTACAATTATGTATGATTGTATTTGTTTTTTTTGTATGTTTTCTTTTTCATTCACTGTTTTCG